GCTAAGAAATAAACTTAGAGTTGTGCAAAGTTTCATCAATCTTGAATTAATTTTTCCGTGCTCGGCGGATACATCGATTTGAAGTAGTGAATACTGCCAGAAAGAAAACGCCTCAAAATAACAAACTCAGATACATACTTTAGCCTTACTGTGAGATAAACTCGTGCCCATTTGTACCCATATGATTTCTTGCAAGCGAGAGGTGTCACTTACCTAGAACGAAGAATTTTTTTTCTTGACCCTGAGGTAGAATTAATTCTTTTTTTAGCACAGAACCCTGCGGTAATGAAAAAAGCAGGATGTGTTCAGTTATGTAGCGTTGATTCTCTGATTTGATTGGCTAAAATGTAGTGACTGACGTAAAATGTTTGCTATACTGTGCAATCTTATTGGTTGGGAGAGTTAGATTGACATTCGGCCTCGAACAAAGAACAATATGCGCCAAACTAGCGCCAAGTCAAATTTAAATTTTCCGCATACTCTCTATTTGATTTGACAAGCTGTCCTAGTACACGATGGTCTAAGGAAGGAAAGCGCTCTCGTAAAGCGGAAAAAGTGTTGTAGGTGATTGAAAAGTTGACCCATCCACTTAGGAAAATGGCTGAAGTAATTAAAACCGATCAAAGAGTAAATACAACTGAAGTATTCATGCATTTAATCGTTCGTTCTTAAAGAGAAATATTGGCACATATGATAGATATGTAGTGATAGATGTTTAAAATATCATTTCTTAACTCGACTCACGAGCACAAAATTTACCATATTTCTTTCAAGATATTTCTTTACATCCGACGCTTTCGACTATGTCAAAACTGATTCCAGGGGTGCTTACTATTTGGCCAAAAAATTCGGAAATTTCGGTTTGAAGTCAAATGTTAAGGTAATTTTCCGGAAATATCTTTCGGAAATTGTGGAGTACCTTCAGAAGTACTCCACTTTTTCCATTCGGAACGGAAGGTCATAAAATTCCGTTTCCATGCCTTTCCGCTAGGGTTGCCTTGGGTTGGAGCGGGACGAAACGCCTGATGGATAAATGGTAAGCTCAATCTCATCCGGTTGGTCCATGAATTCGGAAACTCCCTTACCTTTATGCCACGGTTACACCAATCGGATTTTTCTTACAAATGGTAAGCACCCCTAGTCTCCCAGCAGTGTCTGAGGTGCCTCTCACCTTTAAAAGCTTCAATCATGGCTGTGTACTCTGCAGCTTGGTAGTAAGGCATCACAACGCGAAATCCTGACGTTTGAGGTTCGGATCTCCGCGGTAACTTACACAAATGATGCTTTCGACATTGCTGATAATAGCTGATAATATCAGTTTGCAGGGCGTGTGTCATTTAAATATAGCAGCTAGTGATACAGCTTACCGTTCAGCGCGTAGAGAATCGAAGGTCTGAAGTTCGACTCCTCATTGAAACTCAGACTTTTACCTTTATCTTATGCTGGTAACAAGACGAAAAAGAATAATTCTCTAACTTACTCCTTATTCCACGATCGTGACAAACAGTTGTTCCAACTCCAAATTTAAGCTGTCTCCTTTCTTCTTTTTGTGTCATCGGTATTTGAAGGAGTAAAATCGAACTGATTGGGTCCTGAGTAACGAAGTGTTTTATGCTCAAAGAGCACCGGGTAGCACTAAAGATTCGCGGCCCTAAATTGCGTAGGTTCCGAAGAGAATATATTGTGGTCAAAGTGGCTCAAAACTACCTTCTTTGCAGCTAAACTGATATAAATGATCTTTGACTTTTCCTCAATCGGCTGGCCAATTATTAAAATGCTAAATTTTTATTCAAGTCACAGATTTATGTCATTTCCTCAATTATGATCTAAATCTGCCACATTGCCGGCTTTTCACGGCATGGCCAGAGGCCATTCAGGCTCTCAGAGAGAACAAGAATTTGAAATTCGCTTCTAGGAGAATTCGATCTCTCAATTTGAAAAAGACCTTTAAAAAAAGGCTCTGTGAACTATTTTCAACATTCATTATAAGATTGAATCAATTTTTTAATCAAGTTAAAATAAATAACGTAAGCTAAAAAAAGATTAAATTTATCTTTGAAATTAATATTTGGAAATTATATTATAATAACTATTATTCATTTTATCTGTATTACGAATTATAACGTAATGATTTTCAATTCGCCTTTTTTTTATTCTTAAGTATTATAATCTATTGTATATAACACAACTATTTTTAAGCGAGACGAGATTAGAAATTATTTTTCTAATGAAACAGTGGTGTTTGTGTTGACAAATTAAATATCGAGTCATTACAACCTAGAAACCATTTTCGATCATGTTGACACTGGAAGCAAACACTATCCTTGTCATCACAGCCGGCAGTCTTAAAACAGCTATTGATGTTTCTTAAGACAAAATTTCCCTCGCAGTGATGCGCAAGGAAAGATTTGTCGTTTTCTTTTTAAACTATTAGGAATCGTTTCATTACTCGATCAATTTGATAATTTTTGTGCGTGAATATAATATACAAACGCAATAATCACATGAAATTGGTCTCTATCAGGAAAAAAACATGCATACCGCGAAAGGATGAGGAAATTGGCCTGTATTGGGCCGTTTCCTGTTCCTATTCTCGTGCTATACGAAAAGAAAGGATAACTGTGGGTTACGCACTCTTGGCAAAATGAAGCCAGTCTGTGAATGATCTAGCATTCAAATAGTTTCATCACAAATTTTTTTGTTTGAGGATTGTTTTATGTGACTCGTTTTCAGAAGTATCGTATCGCGTAACCTTAAACAATGCAAAATGTTTTGATAAACACCATAATTTTTTCATAGTTCTAAGCTTTCCTCACAAATACCTCTTTATTTGAACTATTGATGCGTTTTTGCCAATCATTCACAATCATTCGACCGTATGTGACGTTTTAAACACTACGGTTTTCAGAAGTCTTCGTTTTTTATACCTGTCAACACAAAGAATGAGGGTTTTTCAGAACAATAAATTTTGAAAGATTCCATATTTGAAATAATCTTTACGAGAGTGTACGGGCCATAGGCAATGGGGCAGGCGGGGCCATAAAAAGCCGTATGGCCCTGCGTGTGGTCTCGTACCATGCAAAATGCAAGATGGGTGGAAAGAAAAAGAGTTACCATGTGAAAAAAAAATTATTCCATAGTCGTGTCTTATGTCTTATGGGCCCACCCACTGTAGTTGAGAAGCACAGAGAACCACAGAGGTGCTTTGTAAAATCATGATCGGACTTGTCAGCGAGCCATTTTATAGAGAACTTTACCCTTTAGAGTGAATCTGCAACAATCACGTTTAGTACTGGAAGCAAGCCATTTTATAGAGAACTTTACGTTTTAGAGTGAATCTGCTACAATCACGTTTAGTACTGGAAGCAAGCCAGCTAATGTGTCATGAATGAGGCGGAGTATAGTCCAATAAATAAAGGAGGTAAGAAATTGCAGTGTCGCGTCGCCGGATGGGGAGTTATAACAAAGTAAATTTGGTTTTATCAACTGAGTTCATAATGTAAATTGGCCACCGTAAGGAGTTTTAAAGCTGACGTTTCGAGCGTTAGCCCTTCGTCTTTCGCCCTAACGAAGGACTAACACCCGCTTAGAAAACCAAAACTACTGATAGAGTATTTAACAATTATTCGCCAGAGGAAGGGTGAATATCGTCGAATAATCCCTGAGATTTCGTCTCGGGGATTATTCAACAATATTCACCGAACCTGAGGCGAATAATGGTTTTAGTATAAGTTCAGAGCTGAACAACAGAGAAATTTCTAAT